GAGGAGCAGGCCCTCCCGGAGTACGCCGCCGGCAACCACGAGGCGTGGGCGGCGTACTTCGAGCGCCGGCAGGCGGAGCGCTGGCCTCCACAACGCGCCGGTGGTGCAGGGGAGCAATAACAGTGACGGCCGCCGCCTGTGGTGGGGCGCCCCCGGCCGCACGCTCCACGCCGTCCTCGAGTACCTTGAGGGCGGCAATGATCCGATGCTGACATACCCGGCCGCCCCGATCCCCGCCGAACTGGCGGCCAAATGGATCTCGAGGAGGACCAGTTCCTCTTCCTCCTCTCGATCCTCCTCCCACTCATTTGAGTCGCCGGCGCTCTTCAGCGTCAAGGTCGAGCCCACGGAAATGCCGCTCGGCCGGCACACCCGCAGCGCCGACATCATCATCAACAAGGGCGGGCGTGCCTCTTCCTCGGCTTCTCCCTGCCTCGTTAAGCCGAAGACGGAGTCGGGGCTCAGCTTCGTGAAGACGGAGCCGGGACTCGACGACGACGCGACCATGAAGTGGTCGTGGGAAGATTGGACGCGACTGGAGATAGAGCGCCAGCGCCGCGCCCTGGAGGAGATCACCGCGAGCCGCCATGGGTGCGACGAAGGGGGCGTCATCGTGCTTGAAGACAGCGATGACGACGCGCCACCACCGGCCAACCCTGTCCGCGTGGGCGACCCCAGGCAGGGGTCTAGCGGCGTGAAGAAGGAGAAGGACGGCGACGACAACGACGGCGCGACGACGACGGCGGCGACGACGGCGACTACGCCTCGTTCAGCGAGTTCTTCAGCCTGTTGTCGCGGCTCTTTGTTTTTTTAGTAAATTTCATGTTTTCTATGTAAAAATGTAGAACGCCGAAGTTTATGCCTTGTTCGCCAAAATTTTATCATGTTTGCCAAATTTTAGCCGATTTTTTTTCAAAACAGTTTAAAAAGGGTGTCTGGGAACCCAATCGCCCTCAAGCCGATTTTTAGCGACGGGTTGCCCCCAGGCGGCGATTTTAAGAGCCCCAGGGCCAACGGTTGGAGTTGCTCTCGGTCTACAAGATGCAAGCATGCAGTGATCCCAAGAACACGAGTTTGTGGACACGACACGCATGCTTACGGTGCATGGCTTCTCCAATCCAATGATAAATAAGCAAGGTTTTGGTTACCGAACGAGGCAATTTTACTAAAGGGGACGGGTAAACATGGTTACCACGGTTACCGGGAAATACTGATAATATTTCAAACGAATTTTATAGTTGAATTTTGAATTCAAATTAATGAATGAACGAACATTCGAACTAGAGACCTGTCAAAACAGGAAGTAGGTTGCTACGAACACGTCAGAATCAACTCTCGTGGCATTAATTAGATCGTACGCACTTTACTACAAATGAAGCGTTTAAATTCAAAAATTTCAAAAAAAAATTGATATTTTTTTTGCTCGGTATGAGGATTTATCAAGGGACACGGAAAAATATGCGATAACCATGAGAAATCTCGAAATTTCGACAGGTAACCAAACACACACACGAGTGTATCTATCTGGTCACGATTCCTCTCGAAAGATTATGGCAGAAACGCACGAGTAGAATACAACTTGGGTTCGTGTTCCGTGTCGTCGCAAGCCAAGCCAGGCAATGCCGTGACAAATGAACATGGCGCAGGTCAGAAAGGGTCCAAAGTCCAGAGGCCCCGAAACGCCCCGGCAAAACCAGCTATGCCCGCCCATAAACCGCCGCAAAAATACAGAGGCACGACAGCTACGCAGAGCTCGCGCCGCACATGCGCGCCTCCCCTGTCCGCGCCGCACTGTGCCGCCGCCGCCGCCGTGGACCGCCAGCCCGATCCGCCTCGGGCCGGGTAGCTCCCGATCCACCACGTCACTCACGCTGGGTCCCTGGCCGCGCCCGCCAACGTAGCGCACGCACGTACGCCCGCCACCATAAAACTCACCCGGCGCCATCCCGTCCGTCCGTCCGCCACGCATTTCTCCTCCTCCTCGCGGCTGTCTTTGGTCTTCACCCGTCACCGCATTATTATTCTACGCCTGCTGTTGCGTGCTCCCGTCCCTCCCTCCGTCCCTCCCTCGTGCTCTGCTCTGCTCGCTCGCGACTTGCTGCTGCGCTGGTCTCGTCTCGCCCGCGTCCACTCCTCCGCCACCCCTCCCACGGTCTTCCTTCCCTGGTAGCCCCAGCGGAGGCCATTGCCTCGCTGTCTGCCCGGCGGATCCGCGCCTCGCCTCCTCGCCCGCCGGCCCGGCGGTTCCCATCCGACTCCGATCGTGCTCCCCTCCCGCCCGCGCGTGTTCAGGGGAGCGGTTGGGCCGGGCCTCGCGGGGAAGACGGCGCGCCGGATGGTGTGAATTGTCGAGCGGAGATGACGAGGCGGGCTCCGGCGCGCGGCGGGGGCGGGGGCGGCCAACTCCTGCTGGTTCTATTGCTTGTCGCGGCCGCGGCATTGGCGCCGCTGCGCGCGCGCGCGGTCACCGACGCTTCCGACGGTACGCTCCCTCGCCCTTTTGTTCCTCCTCTCGTTAGTAGTTCCGCTGCGTGCGCGCGTGCGTGCGGCGAGCGAGCGAGACGGTTGCGCCGCTGCTCGTGCCACCCGCGTGGAGCTGCGTGCGTCGCCGTCCCCGGTGGACGTGGGAAGCAGGCAGGGGATCGATTTCCGGTCCGCCGCCGCTTCCGCGGTTTTTACTCTGCGATTTGACCATGCGCGGTGAAATTGTG